CACGGGTGAAGCTTCGTCAATACTCGCGTTACGTGTACACGCAACATTTTCATCTGAAAACGACATCAAGATACTCCTTCGTCGGAATACAGTGTGCCGCGATATCCCACTTGCATTTTACTGTTCTTGACACGGTGAAACTGTATTATTCAAGTGGCCGTTTGTTGAAACAACAACGCTATACCGTCTGTTGAAATCGTTGGAAACGGTTTCCTTATTTTCGCACTCGGCCGACGTTGTAATTTTTGTTTAAGTGAACTATTTATAAATTTGTTTCGAGATACGATAATATGTAAATTGGTTTCGAGAAAGGAGGGCGGGGACGGAAATGTTTTTTTACTGCTGGTTAAAAATCGAAAAGGGGAAACGCGAGGCGGGAAATGTGTTTTTACTACCTTAAGCTTAATTTCCACAAACCCAAGATTTCCCCCTTTAACCTCCGTCTCCTCAACGGAGACATGATTAGCTTCGTAAAAGAATAACATCGCATTTCTACGGGCGGAATAGCTGCGTTTCCTTGAATTTTCGACACCGCGGTATTGCGGGTTTCTACGGGCAGGTACACGCGATATCGCTTCCCGCACGCTCGAGAGAGCGCCGCGACGCTGATGCGCTTTCATCATGACGGTACTCAGCGGACGGAATGAATCGAAGAAGAAGCGGAGGAGGAAAAAGCGAAGGGACGCGAAAAGAGGAGAGAAGAGAAAGGAGGAAGAGAGACGAGAGGGAGCGTAACGGTACATTCTCCTCGCTTGTTCATAGGTGGTCCCTGCGGTGGTCAAAGGTATACCTCCACCCGCGGGATCGACCCTGGATATCTCTCGCCTCTTCGAGATGCTCGATTTTTAAAAAATGCCGCCGACGAGAGCGTCCTGCATCCCAGATCCGCGGAATCGTCTCAGGCGACTACGACGACGACGACGACGACGACGACGGAGATGGCGATGGGGCGTTTTCTTCCCGCCGGGAAAGGGCAAGCGTGAAATTGTTCGGATGAGCGCGAGTGAATGGTCTGGACGAGCAAATATAAATTAGATTGAAAAGTCGACTGTGAAAAATGTCCCCTTCGATTTGGGACACTGTAATAAGCGGTGATGGTGGTAATGGCCATGCGGGGCCATTGACACGTCGAGCACGGAAAAGTTTTAAATCAACGTCATCCGGGCGTCATATATCACCGTCGATGCCTGCAGTAGGTCATATGTCAAAGGAATATTTTGTTGCAGATAAACATCGCAACGTCGGCGACGTATTTATAAAAGACACCGTGCGACATGTAATTATATGCGCGGAATGGTGATTATATTACGGGCGATCGACGGGACCATGCATTGTACATAATTACATAATTAATAATACAATAGTAATAATAATGACGATTCTTGCAATTTAAATATGTATATATTTCGTTATTACTATGCCATTATCGCGATATTAATATCCTCGGATTACGAGGGTATCGCTAAATTAAGGAAAATTTTAATTAAGGTACCGTAACGTTACGGCGATCGGCGATGAAGTGCGAAAGAAAACTTTCGAGAAGGAAAACAGGGAATTCGGTCGTTGCGCGCCGCAGAGAGGGAGGAGGCGAGGCGGAGGGAAGGAAAGTGCCGGAGCTCGGTGCCGGTTGTAGGTGAAAGAGAAACGGAAGATGCACACGATCTCGTAAGAAGACGCTACTGCACGCTGGGGAACGATAACGGCGGTCGGGCGTTCCTGGGATGCACGCCAGAAACCGAATGTAAACGGCTGCGCGCTGCACAAGTTAATTAATTAAGTTGCCGCTCTTTACGTTATCGCGCCGCCGTCGATACATTATCGCATCGAGCTTGCGTACTCGCTTTCCCCCGTCGAGAATTTTCGAAAAACATCTTACGAAACTACGCGTGATCTAAAAGAGAAAATTCTCCGTTAAAGAGAACCTGAGGGATCGCCAAACTTGTCGAAGAACGGAAAGATTATGGAAGATTACCGGTACTGCGTATATAACGTATATTCCGGTATAACGACGTCGTGACAATTTTATAATTAGTGGAAAATAAATGGCAATGAGAAAAAGTGTTCCGATTGTGTTTCGAAGGGATAAAAAAGTTTTGCTACAGCTCGCGGAAATGGAATTACTTTACGTTTGTTTTTTTTTTTTTTTTCTTTAAAAAGCGGCGCAATAATGCAGATCTTTTGATTACTGCCAGGTTTTCAAACCACGGCAAAGGACAATGCCACGATGCATATTGCATTATGTGCTGCATTGTATGCACGGGCGCTTTCTAAGGGAAAATCCTCGAAGATGCGACGGACAATTTCGAAACTTTCGCTATTATGTGTTTTTTTTTTTTTTTTATTCATAATCGGCGCGACGTTCTCGAATTACCTCATCGCTCTTCGAAAGCGATATTTATCACGGCGACGGTTTAATCTTTCTCGAGTAATTGGGAGATTGCAATTGGTCACTCGGTATCTCACATTTTGTTTTAATTCGAGGATAACAGAACCAACGACAGATCTGTGCTGCGTTTTTAACGCTGTGTCTATATATATCCTTCGGTAAATATTTTCCAACATTCGGTGACATTCGACGCATCTCGAATACATTGACATACGATCACCGCCAGTCACGCTGAAAATGATTTTTTACTTACTCGATATTGCATAGTGATTGAGTATCGTTAACTGTCAATATTTGGTCAAGATATTGTAGTATTTTCGCCTATCATGTTTTGCGTGATACATGTGTATCGCTTTATCTTTTACCGCAACAATTTTACAGCGCTTTAGCTCTTTTATGAGACAAACACGTTCGGGAAATTACGTTTATCTTTATTAAAATTTCTTAAATCATAATTTTTTACTACTTTTTTTTTATGTTTCTCTTCTTTCTCGTCGCTCTTTTTTTTAATCCTCTTTTTTAATCGCTCTATCGTCGATTTCCTACGCTCGCGATACCTTTCAGTTTCGCGCTCCAGAGGCATGCCACGCATGGGCTATTTAGCGCCCCATCTTCCGATATATATATATATATATGCGTGTGTGTGTGTGTGTGTGTGTGTGTGTGTGTGTGTGTTTTTATATATACTCGATACGGATATCAGCGAGGGTAGTCGTCGGCGGTTGGCGGATCGTATCGTATCGTGATTCGCCTGGAAAACTGACATCGATCAATCATACCGCAGACGAGTGTCGGTTTCCACGAAGCCGCCCCTGACGTTCGTCACGTTTTATTACAATACTTTTATACGCTCGAATGTACATGCGGCTCAGTTACGGGAAATTTTTCGTAAAAAGATCACTCCGGCATCCCGCACCGACAAATCATGGTCCACGGTGAGTAATGAAATTTGGGCGTCGCGAAGACGTGTATTTCGCCGGGGAAAATAATTCTCGACGGTCTAAAAGCATGCCTGAATATTTAAGGAACCGTAATTTTCTTGTACCGAGTCTTGCTACAATTTGCCTATTTTTCCACATCCGTTCTGAAATAGCGACTTGAAACTTTTAACACTTTGACCTGCTTCTTACAATGGTTTCTTTGTAAATTGATGTAACTCTACTCTAGAAAATGTGCTTTCTTATTTCGATGATCAGCAAGAACAGTTTTACATATTTTACATATTCGCATATATTCGCATAACTGCATTTAGGTAATTTCAATGAGCATAAAAATTATCAACATGATGGTAAAAGCATCGAAAATAAAATCTCACGATTTAAATTTTATGATAGTATATTCGATATTTATGACACATTAGCCGAGAAATACGATTCATAAAAGCCGTAGTTGCATTTCGAGCTCGACCATCAAGAGCCTTCGTAATTTAACGGATTACAAATTTATTCGAGTTCTCAGACTTGTTTGACAGAAATAAACGGATGTTCATGAAATAACTGAGAATTATCGTATCTCTTTAATACGATTAAATGATAATTTCCCTTCGCGCAAACTTATGCGTTCTGCCGTAAACGGAGACACGTCGTTCTTTCTTCCGCCGGCCGCTCGGCGAACGTCAGGACAAGCGCAATTAAATTGAATCCGGCAAAAAAATTCATCCGTAATGCCATCCGCGAAATCCCCGGACGCGATCGCGGAAACTAGTTTCGCGAGAGACGAGCTATCGAGAAGTAATATAAACTTTATATCCCTCTTCACGGGCAGGGAACTCGTAAGACAAATATATGTCGAGATCGTCGTTTCCGGTTCGCGCAACGGCTTACGACGCGACGGTGCTCTACGGGGTTACAATGTAAACATATATCGCCAGGATGTATACAGATATGAACTTATACGCGGCGTGTCTATACGCGTGTATATGTACACATATATATATATATATATATATATATATATGTACATATTGTGTGTATATATATATGTAGGCGCGCGTGGAGCAGTTGAGTTTCCAGATTCCGCCGTAAAGGCAGGCGGCCGTCGTAAAAGAATTGCGTTAAACTTAACGTGCGGCCGTTAAGAAACGTCCTGATAAAATAAAATCTTAATCCCGTGCCATCCATGGGGGAGATTTAGGTTCCTTTTCCCCTTTTCCGCCCTAGCCGCCGCCGCCATTCTGGACAGAAAGGGCATGTCGTACTCCCATTTTCTCGAGATCAGCCTTAACGGTTCACTGGACCGACTATTAAGCGTATCTTCGTGCGCCTAATCCTTTCAGATCCAAATTTTTATTTGTTCGTGGAAGATTCTTATTTTTACAGCCTAAGAGGCGGAGGAGGGGGGTGGGGGGTGGGGGAACTAAACGGCGGTTGTTCACAATGAGATATTTCCCCTTCCCTTCGTTCCTCCTGCTAAATTATCTTCCTTTTATAATCCCAACGACCATAGTAAGTCAGATAGTCTCGGCATTGTGAAATTTGACTTCGTCACGGTAGATTTAATATTTAAGTTTAAACAACTCTATCCACTTTTAAAGTAAAGTTCAACTCTCACTCGTCGTCCTCTTTTAATTCTTCCGATGATTCTAACACACTTCTGTACGTTTTTTCCTTTTCAGCAAGAACGGATACGTATGCGTCATGTTCCACAAGAGGGACGAGCACGTAATAGAGATGCAACTGTCGGAATGGGGCCAGCAGCCCGACGACATATGCAACTCGAGCACGTTCAACTCGCACACGATGCCGTACACGACGTTCATCAGTAAGTAAATTCTGATCCCCTAATCGAATTACGCATTGCAATATCACGTCGCGGCAGTAAAGTAACTAATTGGGCTTTAATGCGGGGTGTCAACTTTCCCCGAGCGAATGTAATATACGCAAATTTGATTATGTTTAACAGTGCTCAGTTGACGGATCGTGTTATATGTTTGTTACTGCAGTTTCAATTAACGCAGTTAAACGCGACCTCGATCCCGTCCCCGTTAATACATCCCCGGCATTTTTGCTTTGTCGGTATTACAACCGTAATTAATCGGGCAAATTAATTTGCCGATATTCCGATATGAGGCGGCAATCGCAAATTAACTCGCGATTTCTTTTAGGAGTTGTCAAAGGAGAGTTGTAAACTCCCTTTCCCTCCCGCTTTTCCTCTCTATCTCTTCCTCGCACTCTCTCTCTCTACCTCCCTTCAAAGCGAGTCGTGCCTTGTCGTTCGATTCATATTTGCGGTTTTCTTAATTTTCCACTCGTCTCTCGACGCAAACGGAAAATGCGATAAAGCGCGCGAAGTAATACCGTATTCGAACTTTCCGCGAGAGCGTGAAATTTCTTTACGATTCGCGGAAGATCCATTGCCGACGATGTAACGGGATCGTGAAATAGTATGCCCATTTCTTTTTCGCCGTAAGCCAAGATTAAGTAGATTGGAAATTCGGCCGCGCCCGTTGCGGCCGCCGGAAATCGGTATCAGAAGCGTTCGCTCGAAGGTGATTTCGGGCCTCGCGTCGTCCGCCGCGCGCCGGCGCTTTGGTGTCCAATTCGACCCCTCCGTTTTTCTTCCGATTCATTGACCGCGTTCCCTGGTTCGTCTCGATCTTATCTAGAGTTACTGATAGGAGATAAGCGAGTCGAGAGAGATCTGTGCGTCAAAACACAAAACGAGAACTCACGATACTACATTTCATTCGGCGAAATGTGTTTACGAACGTCCTGCCATTGTTTTTAAATTTAACGCGTATGAAATAGTCAGTTTTGCATATTGAGGTATTTATTCGCGCCGGATTTCTCACCCGGGAATTCGTATTATCGATGAAAGTATATCACGCCACGTGCGATGTCGCGCTGTTTGCAAACTCCTGCGAACTCTCTGCTGACTAGCCAGACGTCCGACGCTTCACACGGAGAATTTGGAATAAAACGTGATTCGCGGTCTAACGAATGAGCGCCCTGTTTAGCTTCTAAACTCAATTTTAGACATCGATCCGTGAGCCCGACGACGTCGGGATGTACTGCGGTCTCACGGACAATTCACTCAGATGCACACACTCGGGCTCGTGATTTGTCTCGACGTTACGGTGCCTTCTCTGGTCCTGATATACGGATTCGACGTACGGAGTATACCGTCCAGATATAGAAATAAATAGACAAATAAATAAACGGACGGTGTGTCCCGAATACCGCGCATTTCGCTTCATCCGTGCGAGGTCCCGCGATCAATTCCGCGAAGTCGATTTTTCTCCCGCGAAGCCTCGACGAAAGTAACCTTCCAACGTTCGACTTTAAACACTTTTGTAACTAAATCCGCAACTTAAAAAGTGTTTTAAAGTGAAAAGTCTACTTAAAATTAAACGAGAAATAAAGTTTCGTTATCTGTTTTTGCCTCAAAGGCTGTTTCGTGAAATTTCCCAGGTTCACTGCTGCAGCAAGAATGATTGATGCCTCGACATTATTGCGAAGGATAAATCTACTCGAAATCTGTCCAAGAATCTGTACGTGAAGGGTACTTCGGAGGGCTTGTACTGTGTACCCCGTGATGGAAGTACCTATATGCCGGCGGGAGAAGCGTCGCCGAACGCGGGCGAGAAGTTCGCAAAATGGCGGAGTTTAACAATCAATTCGCGAAGCGTGGGTTTATGAGCGCATAAAGGATCATATGCCGGATCTGTCGTAAAGTCTCTCTCGTAGACTCGTAGACTCGCCTTTCAGTTTCTCCTTAGCCGATTCCAGCAACGTTGACGAGGAGAGAGAGGGGAGAGGGGGGGGGAGGGGGAGGGGGAAGAGAGGAGAGAGAGAGAGAGAGAGAGAGAGAGAGAGAGAGG